CCTAGCAGATCTAACAGCTAGCCACTGCTGTCAAGGAACAGAGACTTGCTCTCGACAGCTCTTATCCCCAGACATGTGCTCCCACCCACTCCCATGAAAGTTAGTGGTTCTCATGTGGTCCTACATGACCTTATTCGTTGCACCTATGCTGTACAGTGTAAGCATTGGCTGCACTTAGTTTCATGATTAATCATGTTACTTTTAAAGATAATTTTATACATATTTTTCTAATCATTTTATGGAGGAATACAATTTTTCATTTAGAAGATACACGAAGCAGCGTTAACAGGTACCATGCCAAAAAAGTCAATAGAGAGAGTTGTTCCACCACTTCCCAGCATGGTGTAGGATGAGCTGTGTTTATGAAACCAAAATTATACTGGGAAGGCATGAAAATACAAAGTGGCAGCCCTGGAATCAGTCTTCTACAGCTCAGGGACCATAGGGCAAGAAGGCTTTAAGATTGTGATGTTCTTACATAGTGAACTGGTCGATGAGAAAGGCACCTCCTTTGACACCTGGAAATAGACTGTTAATCATCACGCCCTGACATACTTTTGCAATGTGGCTTCAGGTATTTTAATCTTCAAACCATTTATCATCCAACGAAAGCAACGGACCAGTAGTATCTTGCAGTCCTTACCTTCAGCACGTGCTACATATATTGTCTTATATTGTTCTACAAAACAGTATTGAGGAAACAATTCAATAAAATGTCCTTCCTAAAAAAAAAAAAATAAATAAAAAAGTGTGGAAAAAGCATTTTTTTTCTTCTTGTATTACCACAAATTTTATAATGCTTCTCAGTTAACAAGTAATTAGACATGATTATAAAAAGTCATGACTCTCATAAACACTGGGTTATCAGTTGGGAATCTAGCTATGTTTCATAGCCAATAGCTAAACAGAAAGAGACTCCAAAATCTCCTGTGTCATCTGGCCTTGTTTCTCTTTGAGAGCAGCAGATGCCTAAATGGAACATGCAGCCGAGGATGGGATGAGTGGGAACGGTAACTGTCTGAATTAAAATGAAAGAAAGTTAATATAGCTCATAGAGCAAATTGCAGCAGTAAGTAATAAAAGCTAATAGGTAACCTCATAACCTCACAAGTCTGAACATATTAGATATTGTAGTTCCTTCCATATTTTTTAATTACTTGCTATTGTCTTGATAATGTACAAGAAAGAACACCTGCAAATAGACTGTCTATTGTGCACTAAGTAAGAATGAAGGAATTTCTCTTAAGAGCTGAGAGAATGAGAAGTGCTAATTCCCATTTTCTAGAGTGGCATCTACAGTAATTACCTCAATTCTGAGCACTGTCAGTTTTTCAGTATAAAACAATGCCATTTTTATCTACTTCTCTTAAATGTAGCAAAAGCCCAAGTGCTCTGGAAAGGCTAAAACCAGTTCTGAACATCCCTTTCTCATTCTACCAAGTTCAGTGCTTAAGACAATAAAGCCTTTATGATATCAATTGTAAATGTTAAAGTGAAGCTTGGTGGTTCTAGTAAAATGATTCTTAAAAGTCAAGACGAAAAGTGTGGAGCAGTTTCTCTAGAGTCTCTGTCACTTAAATATTTCTGGGGTATGTCCACTCCAGTTTTACAGAAGTGTCTTGGGAACAGCCGTAAGCAGCTTGTTCCACAATTCGAAGACAAGATACATGTAGGTTCACCCATGCAAAAGTACATGCAGAGGAGGAAGAACAAAACCTGAACTGAACTGTTGATCAAGAGGGGCTTTTTATCCCTTGGCAAGCCAATCCTGATAAAGATGTTGAGAAAAAAACACTGTGAGAAGCTCCTTGAAGCTCCCCAGCCCCAAGTCAGACCCACCTCTGCACCAAGGCCGGGGCGATGAGCTGCACCTCTGTCATAACGTATTTAAGAAGGGGAACCTGAAGGAGTTGCAGGAGTTGTGAGGAGAAGATGCGAGGAGAACACCTGTGAGAACAGCGAGGTCAGTGGCAGAAAGGAGGAGGTAGAGGAGGGGGGTGTGTCAGAGCAGAGGCTCCCCTGTACCCCGGGTGAGCCGGCGGGGCCACCCGCACCCCCCGCGGGGGTCTGTGGCGGAGCAGATCCCGATCTGCGGCCTGTGGGGGCCCCACGCCAGGACAGGCGGCTGCACCCGAAGAAGGCCGGGACCCTGTGGGAAGAAGGCCCAGCCGTGGCAGTTCGGCGCTGGGAGGATTGAAACCCGCAGGGGTGACCCCCACGGCCACGGCAGTGACTCCTGTCGGAGCTGGCCTGTGCAGGACTGTCCCTGTGAGAGGGGGGCTGTGCGGGAGCAGGAGGGCAATGGCAGAAGTTCCCCTCCCTGAGGTGGAAGAAGTTTTGGGACTGACTGCACCCCACGTTCCCTGCCTCCTGCTCTGCTTGGGGGGAGGCAGTAGAGATATTGGGAGCAAAACTGAGCCTGGGGAGAAGGGATGGGAGTGGGGAAGGTGTTTTCAAGATGTGGTAATACTTCTCATAGCCCTACTCCGTCTGTTACACAGGATTGTTGTTAGAGTCTGTATTAAATTTGTGTTCTTTTTTAATTCCCCTAACAAGACTGGGTTTTGCCTGTGCTTTAAAAGATGACATCATCCCTCCCTGTCCTTATCTCAAATTTCTGGTTCTTTTCCTTCGCTCCTTCTCAGTGCTGTGGGGGAAGGGGTGAGTGAGCAGCTGCATGGTGCTGTTGCCCTCTGAGCTCAAACCACGACAGGCAGTATAGGCAGTGCTCCATCATTTGCCCTGCACCATCTAAGGGGAGACGGTGCAGGGAGCTCCTGCAGGCAGCAGACCCTTCAGGGGTGATGCCCTCACATGACCTACAGGGAAACCTTGGGGAGTTTGACCTTCCTCTTGGCAACCTCCTGCAGGTCACATATTGCTTGTTGATGTTTGTTGCTTGTTGGGATTTTGTCGTCTTTGATCAGCCCCAATGGAAAGGTCTCCAGTTGATTTTATTCATAAGACAGACCTTGTGCACTGTTAACCGACTCTACAAAACCTGTTCCAAAGGTTATTTACTCTTTAGGGACATGTCCCACTTTTCCATGAATGTGCCTAGCTACATTTGTGTAGTTGTAAGCACTGCTGATACCCCCTGATGTCAGTATGAGGGAGACAAGGGACCAGTGCATGCAGGCCATAGAGAAGTTTTTCAACAAAGAATGACTATTACAGATGCATGAAATAAGAAGTGGGCATTAGAGAAAGCATCAATGTTACAGTCTTGGGACTTTAAAGAGACTTATGTGACTCATGAAGTTAATTTGCTTTATCACTGCAGGATTTATTTCACTGTTCCTAAATTTTCCTGAAGGAGTAGATTGGGTAAGAGTCAGCTCCATATTTAGACACCTTCTAAACTAGGTGACTACATGCTCTTTACACTTCTGAGCTCCTGCTAGAGTCAGCTGAGATCTAGTCAATAAACAATGGAGCTCAGGGGGACCTGGAGTGACACCAAAGCAGTCATTTACATCTGATCTGTTGAGATTCTCTTCAGATTCACTGGATAAAATGGAAGCTTAGGCATGTCTACATTGCAATGACCAAAATTCAGGTGTCTGAATTCAGACCTGAATCAGTTTGTTATATTTAGTGATTTTTACTGGTCTTTTTTCTTTTACTTGGTTGTTCTTTAGGATAAAGGTTCTTTTATTTACACTAAGCTTTGATTGCTCCATCTTAAAGACTAGGGCTGATTCATCCCATGAATGGTTAATAGCAGATAGACCACCAGATCTTTTATAACATCCTTTTGGTGCTACCTTCTTTCTTCTGTCTTTTCTCTTGAACAAATATATCTCTGTTCCTTTTCAAATCATTTACCACTACTGCTGCTCACCTTTGAATTGTCTCCACTTAGCCAACTGCTCAACCACCAAGTTTTCAACAAAGCTGGATAATGTAGTTTCCTCACCCTAGGGTTCATGACACTTCTTTATTAGGCCTTTCTCTGAAAAAGAAAAGATTTTTTTTTCATGTCCTTCCCTCCCTTTCTGAAAATGCCTTCCAGGAGAGACTGACTAGAAAAGTGAGGACTCTCTAATCATGCACATAGTAAGTAGAGAATACTATAAAAAATTGCATTTTTCTTCTCTGTGATTTACTACTGCTCTTTTGCACATGACCCTCACACATTTGCACTGTTCTTCTGTGCCACAGTATCTAAATCTGTGAAATGGGAATAGTAATATTTCACTAGTTTAAAGGGGAGTTATGTGGCAAGGATCTTTATATAAAGGGAATAGTGATCTGACACTCATTCTTGGATAACTGAAAATATTTTTCACTGCTGGATTGAAGCAAAGTGATGTGAAAGGCCTGTGAATAGGGACACATCTTGGTCTATAGAACATTAGCCTCAGTTGTATGAAAAGAAAAGATGTACATGATCCACACTAGAATCCATCTCTCAGAGCCTAATTTGTGGAAGGGCCCTTGTTCAGCATCCCTACCACCCTATCAGTCTGGTGTGGTGTAAGAGCAGCTTGGAACACAAAGGACAGCTGATGCCCATAGAGGGAAGAATCTTCTGTCCTTTGAAGGTTTCAGTACCAGAGAATTGACTGGTGGCTGGAATGTCTCATTAAAAATTATATAGCACACACACTGTTATGGAGGCTCTTAAATAAACAACAAACCACCAAAAATTAAAAATTTATTGTCAACACAATTAACTAGCCCTTCACAAATTACAGGTCTGAATGTCCATGAGAGGAGAACAGAACAACTTCCTTGGATTTAACAACAACCTAAAATGCATAGCAAAGAACAGCTCCTTAGGGTTTAATGACAACCTAAAATGCAGAACAAAGAACTCCTTAGGGTTTAACACAACCCAAAACGCGCTATCACTCACCTGACAAGTGAGGGCTCTCAGCCTCGAGGACCTGCTCAGGGCATCATCCTGACCCAAGGCACCTCGAGGAGTTTCCTTGGGCATTGTCCTGACCCCAGGGGAGAGCCCTTGACTGCAGCTGCTGCTCCAGGGGACAAACTCAAAATGGCTCCTCCAGGGGACTCCATTTATACCCAGGCCCAATCTGCCCTGTGGTCAATAGCAGCTCCCATTGCCCAAAGGCCCCAACTACTGTGAAGCCCCGAGAGCAAAGGCAGCGAGGAGCTGCTACGCTTTAGCAGCCAAGAAGCCTATTTTCATTGGGCGGGTGCACCTGCCACGCACACACTCACACACGCACACTTATATGTTATTTTTCTTGTAGTGTTCCTCCATAGCATGACATACTTAATACAGAATAGTGACATGAGCTGTATATGCACTTTCAGTTGTGATCCTGACAAGAGCTCTTCATGTGCTACTGTATTGATAGTGGAGGACTGCAGCAGAGACATACTAATTAACCTCTGTTTTTATGGGTCATTGCCACGTCTAATGTGCAGATAAGAACTTTTAGCTTACCTTCATGAGTAGCATGAAGGTGAAGATATCATATGTGCTGGGCACATTTTTCTTGGCTTAGTGAACATGTGCCAGGTGAACTCTGTTTTATTCTAAATATTCTATAATAAATACTCTAGAGCCATTGCTTGATACCTTCTTAAGTGAACGCAAACAAGGGATGTAAGCTTCTCCTGTTGTGAAAAAGTACATTCTCCATTTTAGCCATATGTCTATGAAGAAACAGCTTCTTTTTATGTTCTTATTACAGATTTCATAAGCAGTTCAATAATAATCAGGATTTCTGTTTGCTTTCTGTCTTTTATCTTATTTTCTTTTGAATTGTATTCCTATTTGTCTTCCTACAGGGATAAGGTAGGAAATAACATATTTCTTTTTATAGTGAAAAGATTTTGTGCCAGTGTGAAAATATCTTCACAGGAACTTACCACTTTAATCACATGGCTCCCTGAAACACTGATCTGATTTATTCAAAGGGTGGATATATTATATAGTCATATTGAGCAATGTATCTTAATACTGAAGGAATTAGAGAATATATAACCTAAGTGCCTTCTGTTATAGGAGAGTGAAGGACACAAAATATAGGAAATATTTCTGGTTTCTGGAATATCAATCAGTAGCTCTTCCCAAACATGCCATCTTGAGATGCCATAGGACATTTGCTTGAGAGTGGAGCCACCTTAGAGCTAGACATTCCTGTGAAAACCTGGGTTTGTGTGGGTGTAAGGATCTCCTGAGGGATGGATTTTCTTCTTGCTATTATCAGAAACACCACAACAGAAGAAAAGTGGAGAATTCCCAGGTGGGAAGGGTGAAAGAAAGTCAAGCCAATGTAGATGTGCTAAAATTAGTACCACCTTGTATGAGGAAATGGAAGGTCTGAGCTGGGCTTTTTACCAGAATAAAGGATGAGCTCACTGCATGATTGCTCAGTGCCTGCTCTATATCAGGTATCACCGCCTTGGATATTTTTTTTTTCTCTCCCGCTTGAAGGCATCCCTTGATTTAGTAAAGGTTTGTAAAACAGGTGGATTAAAATTAGTAGAGTCTCAGTTCTCTCATCTTTCACGTTACCATGTTATGCAGGCAGAAGCCCAGGAGAAAGTTGCCATCTCTGAGTGGAGCATTACACACCTCCACTCCAGAGGAGGCTATTAGCAGCATGTGTTTCACCTTCTTAAGTAAACATACGGTTCACCTCAGCTGGGGCTGCCATTTAGACAAATGAAGGTGTTTTTCCACAATGTGTTTTCATTGTAGCAGAGGATTGTTTACTGACTACTGACTAAGACTGCACAGAGTGGGAATTCTTAATGATCTTCACTGTAGAAGTTGTAATTTAGAAACAATACTGCCTCCTACAAATTGCTAGAGTGGGGTTCCTTCATTTTTTCAGATGTTTCATTCACAACATCTAATCCTGCTGGCATCAGAAACACCGTTTTCATGACTGTTCTGCCTTCTCTCTCTCATTCCACCTATCATCCCTCTTTCCTTTTTCTGGTTCTCTCTGAGCAACTTTTTCCCTTCAAGAAAGGACACACCCCACAAGATATAAAATAAACTAACATTCCTAATATCAAGTTGCCCCACAGCAACCTCAACATCAGTGTCTCTGGCAATAGTCAGAAAGTGTATATAACATGTTTAGTCTTCCACAAAAAAACCTCCTAGTACAGAGAGGAACTGAAGCCAGGACTCCTGAGTGCTTTGTACTTTGGTACTTGTGAAAAGTTGCCCAGTCTTCATCCTTAAATATCATCTCACTGGAGTGTGTTAAAACATGGGAGCAGTGCAAAGCTAAATGCCAAGATACCATTATGGTGACAGGAGAACCTGAAAGCTCAGAATCAAAAGCCTTCGCTTTTGTAAGATTTAGGATTTCAATGTCAAGAAGCACTGTATCACCTGTGGAGTGCATTTTTACTTGTATAGTACTCAGTAGGGATGGTGGTCTCCTTAGAGCTGGTACAAAAAATAACTACATTCTTCTAAATCAACCTAAAATTGCCTTTTATCCTTGGCTATGTCTTTGTCCCAAGTTAAGGCAATAGGAATCAAAGAAGATGGCCATTGCCAAGAAATGATGGCAAGAATGATTTTTTTCACCTGACTGGCTAGAATAGGACACAAACCAAAACCAGGCTGACTTAGCTGACAAAAAAAAATGGGAAATTGATGTTAAGATTTGGATCAAACCTGCCTAGAGATGGTCACAAACAAACACTTCTATTTACCATGTTTGTGATAACCTAGCTTCATATTAGTAATTAGATTTTATGAGATGGGCTCTGTCCTACACCAGGGCTCCTCCGGAATTAATCTTATGTCCTACTTCACATCTCCTTCCCGATTAAGAATTTCTTGACAATAAGGGTAATGAAGAGTTTGTTTCCTTACAGTTTAAAAGCCTGAGTAAGACTTAGCTCTAAAGAGCTGCAACCTATTAGAATTTCTAAACATCTTAAAACTTATGAGGTTATTTTCAGGACTCATGCTTTTTCTCATCAAATATTTAGATAACATTATTTTTAATTACTTATTTTATTGCATACTCATATTGTCAGTAAAGAGATTTTGAAAACTCTGTACAATTTATTTTCTGAAACGGATTTATTGATAACTTTTTCCTCCTGTTTCTGGTCTGGGTTCAACACTGGTCTCAATTCCCAAACTTGTGAAGGGTCTTTCTTAAAGTGGGTGGGTGGGGTGGAGTGGGATAGGGAAAGGGTTTATGGAAATAGCTGCCTTTTCTAACTATGAAAGGGAAGAGCTGGTCTGGAAACCACATCCACCCCATATATGGTTTGGTACTATATAAGTGCTTTCTCCACAGTAGTGTCACTTAGCTGCTTTGGAAATACAGGAATAGATTCACACTGCACTGTATTTCCTCTCTGGGCATTGACTTAGAGGACTTTCTTCATCATTGTCTTCCACCTCTTTACAGTCTCCATATGTGCCTGATTTGGAAGTTCACATCTGGCTTTCCCTAGACTTATCCTATTCCCCAAAATGTTATCTGAAATTGAGTAATAACTAGCTTACAGAACTGATATTCTCTTCTTTAGTTCAATAAAATTTCACTCTTTGCAATCCTGTAGAGCAAAAGATGATTTAATATTTTGGAGTCATTCAATGAAAAACTGCTAGCTTTGCCTGAATGATTTAGAGTCATATCGTCCAATACTGGAGAAATCTGGTTAGTCTAGAAAAGAAAGACTGAGGTCAGGAGGACACAGTAACAGTATTTCAGTACAGAAAGGTTATTACAGAGAAGACAGCAATCAGTGATTATCCATACCTTTGAAAGGATAAAAAGAAAGCTTAAATTGTAGAGAAATAGATTTGAGTGGGATACCTGCAAAATCTTTCAAAGCTGTCAAACTGATGAGCTTCTGAAATAGGGACATTGTAAATCTCTTGGGGGGTGATCTAGGGCTTTCATGAAAGAATTGAAGAATCTTCCAAGGGCTTGCCTTATCCTACTTAAATGTGGTTTGTTGTTATGACAGATGTTGGAAAACAACACTTTTGTGTATGTGTGTGCAAGTACTTATACACTAATAATATATGTATATGTACATTAATATGCACTGATGTACTGTATTTACACACTAATAATAAGCTAATATACACTGATCGTTAATATACATTAATAATATACAATAATAAACACGTGCATATATATAATTATGTCACTTCAACTTGTCTCAATAGTTTACTCTTCCTGTGTGTTTCTGAGACACAGACAAAGCTCATTAGAAATGCTAAATATGTTCTCCAGTCTTTCTGGTAGAGAGGGCCAGTTTGAATGGCTTTATATAAATTCATTTGCATTCTTCATTACCTAAATCAGTCAGTCAAGAGACATGCTAGCCCTGAGTCCTGGATGCACAATCTGCAAATGCCAGATCAGGGAGCTCATGTAGATTCCTCCAGTAACAGAGCACATGGCTAGACCTATTGCACATGAGCAGAACAGTCAGCCCTTCTCAGAACTGTGTAGCACATCTACATGCGTGGAAAGAGCTAAGGGATTCAATTTACAATTATAACTAAAGAACTGATTTTCATAATTGTGGTCTAGCACCAGAGACATGTGTATGTGCTCACACAGTAAGACATATCCCCAGTTCTCTGTGTGATCCAACGACTTCTTGACTTGTCATCTATATAGATGAGATAACAGGCTGGTTGGACACAATGGACTAACCTGAAACCACCCTCAAAGAAGACTGACCGAAACTTCAGAATTAAACATTGATGGACTCTTACAGGAGCTTGGAAATTTGGGCAGTTCTAGAAATTTCCAGCAAATCCTTCTTTGTCTAGTCCCATTTATATGTTTAAGTAAGTGTCTTAATTAATATTTTTGGTGGAAGGTCCCATCCAGGACCCTTTCTAGATGATTCCTGATCCTGAAGTGAATAAATTGTGCATAGATAAGGCATTTGTAAATGCCCAGTAGAAACTGTCCTTGAAGAAATGGTCTATGGAACCAGGTTTTTTTGTAGGTAGTTTAGATATTTAAGAAATGTTTAGTATGTGGCTAAAATATACCAAGACCTAGGTGAAGACACTGGCATGAAGACCCTTGCAATGGAGATTCCTGCCCCCACAGCAACCAACTGTCCGTTTTGGGAGATTTGAGATTCTGTGAGCATCACCCCATGCAAACATCCCAATAAATTAGTTTATTCTTTCTTGACAGGCGCTCTGCCATGAATGT